TGCAGTCCCTTCCTCCTCCTCATTCTGCTCTCTCCCACCTCTCACATCCCACATCTTAGGCAGCAGTGCCTGTGTACCTGGACCTACATAAAAACAGCCCCCGAGGCTGCACATCTGCCCCAGCCTGTCTCCCACAGTATCCTGTTCTTTGCACTTTTAATCCCAAAATGAAATGCCCAAGAGAAGGCTTTGGGAAAACAAAACATAGCAGGATGGCAGACCATAGGAAGCCCTCTGCCTCGCAGGGTCCTCTGTCCCACTCAACCCCTCCCACTGTGGGAGCATCCCTGGGGTCTGAAGGCACCTCCCACTCTCCCACCCTGGGAGCTGCCTGTCACCCCTGCTACAGTGTCAGCCGGCCAGGCCAGGGGCTTGGTCATGCTCACCCCCACACCCTCAGGCACTACAGCAGTGCCCAGTGCATAGCAGGTGCTCCATATTTACAGTGTCAATGAACGGATGACTAGGCAGACCCCATCATCATCACCGTACCAATGGAGACAAGGAAAGCCCAGGGAGGGGAGCTGCTGTGCAGGATGCAAGATTCTCCCAACAAAACTGAGTCCAAGCCCCAGACCCTCCGCCCACCCACAGGCTGCCCCTGTACATACCACACACATGCATACGCATGCGCACACACACACCATCCCAGGGCTGTGACAACATCCTAAGCCCCGAGCAGCCCAGGGCTCAGCAGGGATTAGCTGTCTATGGAGGCCTGTAATGGACACTTCTAGGGGAGGGGGGACTCCCGGTGTGGGCTTGCTAGTGCTGCCACAGAGCTGGCATTTAATGAGCACTTGCTGTGTGCCTGGTACCTATCAACACATGGAGGAAGAGAGATCATCATCCCCACTTCATCCAGGAAGGTCCTACAGGTGGCTGGGGGCACCTCAGAGCCCATGCATGCTCTGTAGCCAGCAGGTGGGACTTGGGGATTCTAGAACCTTAGCACAGAAAGAAGCCCATCCCGCACTTGTGGTCCAAGTCACACAGCTTGTGAGGAGCAGAGGCCAGAGAGTGAGGGTGACAAGGGATCCCTGAGGGGGCATCTGTGAGGAAGAGGAGAAAGGGCTTCAAGCCTCGGCTTCCCTGACAACCTGTGGGATATGTGAATTTCCCCAGCATTCAAAAGTTGATAAAAATCCAGCCCAAATCTTATGCCCGTACACCCTCCTCTGTAGGAGAGCTGGCATCCCTGCCTCTCTCACCCCCTGATCTGCACTTGGGTCCATACCTCCTGGAATCTCCTTCTCCTTCTCCCACACAGCCCAGCAAACTCTGCCTCCTCTCCCCATCCAGGACAGGACAGCCTTTGCAAGACTTCGACCATGAGCCACCAGTCTCCCCTGTGCTGAGGCCACCCAGGGCCAAGGGGGCTCATGGAGATCTTGGGGGTCCGGTGTCCAGCCTCCCCACCCCCACCTGCAAGAGCCACAGGGCCACAGGCCCCAGACACTCCCACCCACCCACCCCAGAGGGTATGCTCAGCTCAAAATCCCCTCCAGCAGGCAACATGAGCCCTCTCCCATAAATAACTCAGGCACAGGGAGAAGCTGAGCCATGACTGCTGACAAGCAAGGGAAAAGAGCAGCTCAGAGAAAAGAGGCTCAGAGCAAGAGAGACAGGGAGGCGGCCAGAGGGGTACAAGGGAAGAGGTGGACGGCAGATGGAAAGACAGGGAATGGGTGGAGGGCAGCAGCTTTGGACCAGGGCGGGAGAAGGGGGCGGAGCACATGCAAAATACAGGTAGGTGGAGCCCCAGGCCTGGGAGGGGCTCTGGCTCCAGCCTAAGGGCCCCAGATGCCCCTTCTGGTAAAGGGCACCTGTGCACCCACTCTGGGAATAGCCTGACTACTCCTAAGGCCAATGTGAGGAGAGGGCTTGGGCACAGGCCTGGCTCCTACATGCTGCTGCTTGAGACCTTGACCATGCCCATGGGCCTGGTGTGATTCACAGCCATGTGTCAGGGTCCTATAAATAACCTCCCCCCTGCACCTTCCTCTAGGAGCACATGCCAGCCCTGGGCCAGGCACAGGCAGTCCCTGGCCCTGCACCTCCCCAGTGTCCAGCCTGCACCCCTCAGCTCCCATGCTAGCCAGGGTCTTCCTCACTCCCATACTCATCACCAGCCCAACCCCACCAGAACCAGGCCAGCCTCAGTCAACTTGGCTCCTTGAGGACTCCGGGGGGAGGCAGCCCTCGAGGGGCCAGCAGGCCCAATTCCACCCCCACCCTACCCCAGCTGTCCTTCTCCCCAGCCACTCCTCCACCCCAACTCCAGCCAGGGGCCCAGCCGCCAGCCTCTAATCCTTTCTGTCATCTGACCCAAGCCCCACCCTGAATTGGCTTTGCCCAGTCACCTTTCAAGGCCCAAAAATGGACACAGTCATTTATAGAGGGTCCGACAAGCCAAACGCAATGGGAAGATGACCTCATGGCACCCACAGGCCCAAGCTCCAGGCACGCACTCTGCACCCAGGCACTCTGGGGGTGGCTTGGAGGCAAGAAGTGTGGGACAAGACCTCCTGAGAGTCAGCTCAGTGCAGGCCACAGTCACTGCACCCTGCCTGAGACAGCCTTCCAGGGGCTCAGCCAGGGAAGGGGGCTCCCCAGCAGGTGTCAAGGCAGGAGATGATGAATGAGGGAGGACGCCCACTCGCAGGCCTGCACCAGGGCACCAAGACAAGCCCCCAAACACGCCTAATGGGGCCAGGTGAACGCCCAAAGGCACACACAAAGAAATCTGCCCAGGAGAGCCTATGGGAACCCACCACCAGGGCGGGGGGTGTCCACAGAGAGACTCAGAGGAAAGTGGGCTCAGTGACCCCGCCGGGCAGGCTGCCCTTGACCATGCCATCACCCTCTGAGTCCTGGACCGAAAGAAGAAGTAAGAAGATTCCCTCTGCCCTGCCCCCCATCAGGGCAACAGGGGGAATGGAATGGTCCCATTACTTGTGGGGAGGATGAAGGCAAGGTGGGGCCAGTGGCCAGGATGCTTGTAAGACACAAGGGTTCGGGCCGCGGGATTTCGACGTGGAATTAGCACCACCAGAAGGTGCTGGGAAGGCAGCCTGGTTAGTGGTACCCGGGCTGCAAGAGGGCTGTGATGTGGATTCCGAGCAGCAGAAGGCAAGCAGGGAAAGGCTGCTGTAGTTGGAGGCACAGGACTTCCTGGGAGCAGAGCCTGCAGCTGGGCCAAGAAACGGGGGGAGGGAGGAAGGCTACTCTACTTTCAGGAGGGGTCAGGAGGCCTGTGGAGCTGGCTTGGCTTCTGCTGGAGGCAGGGTCCCTGACGGCGTGGAGAGCAGCTGGAGCACCAGGCAGCTGCAGTCCCAGGCTCCCCGCAGCATCCACTCAACTAAGCAGCTGTCGGCCAACTGCCTGTGGCCACAGAACAGGGGCTGGAGAGGGAGGGCCGGCCGCCCAGGGGGTCAGTCCTCCATGGCTAACTGCCCCTGCCCCTGCCTACTGCTCCCAGAACCACATCAAAGACACTGCTGCTGCAGCAAAAAGGCAGCCAGGGGCGGAGGGACACACCAAGAGCAAGAGGAGCGAGTGTGGTGGGGGCGGGGAGCTGGTCCCGGCCTCCCATTCATCTCCTGAGACCCTGAGGAGCAGGAAGCAGGCTCAGGCCCAGGGCTGCAGGCACTTCCGTGGATTACCTTGTCATTGGGGGAGACAGAGGCAGAGGGACCCCACCTGAAGGCTTCCCAGCCCCCCCTCCCCTGCCAGCTACTGGGGGCTCTAACCCCTCCTCCTCTCCGCCTGGTAGGGGAACTGGGCCTGGTTAGATCTGGTGCTTGGCTGCGGGCCTATCCCTGCACGCACACCCACCCACTCCTTAGCCGGGAACACAAGGATGAGCAGGAGGACTCCCAGGGAGGCACAGGGGCGCTCTAGCACCCCCCCCCATCACGTGGTTGCATCCTTAGGGAGAAAGTCAGTGTTTATAAACAGCCGCAAGGCCTGGCAGGGGGAGGCCGGCCCGTCCTGGGTCCCCACGCGCTAGCAAGGGGCTGCGGAGGCTTCAGGCCCATCTGACCGCCAGGCTCCGAGGAGCCCCCCCTGCCAGAAGAGGGGATTCTGCTCTCTCAGATTTCAGAGACGGGATCAGCAGGGGAAGTGGCGTCAGCAGCTGGCCTGATCCAATTCAATACACCCGAGGTGGCTAGAGATAACAGGGCCGGCCAGCGCGCACCCCCAGCCCCGCCATCCCCCCGCATTTCCTGCACAGTCAGGTGCCCCCCGGGAGTCCCGGCTCCATCCATCTCCCCGGGCCAGCCGCGAGTCGCGCCCCGCTCGGAGGGCTCGGGTTTCCCGCGGCGCACTACACGCCCCTCCCTACCCGGGTCCGCCGGGGGCTCCCACAGCCGGCGCCGCCGCCACCCGCTCCCGGGCCGCTGGGAACGTGAGGCCCCCTGCGGGGCCCGGCTGGAGCTCCCAGGCCGCAGGCACCTCTCGAGAAAGGAAACCGATCCTTGCTCTGGCCCGCGGCTTACGGAGGTAGAGAGGCGGTAGGAAGGAGGCCACCACCGGCGCCGGGCAGCAGCCTCGGCAGTCCCGGCGCTGGTGTTCCGGGGGTCGGGAGGACAGGCCGGACTGGCTGCGTGGGCCTGGAGCCCTGGGGGTCGCCACCTCGCCTCCCAGCCTCCCCGGCCGCGGCCTCCGGGGCGGGGTCAGCCGGCTTTGCCCTCCCGGAGAGGAGCCCGGAGCGAGGCCGCCACTTCCCTGCGGGAGAGCGGCGAAGGGACAAAGCGGCTGGAGGAGGGGTGGGTGAAGGGACTGCTGCGCCCGCGCCTGCCCCGGCCCCGGCACCGGGCGAGGAGACAAGGACGCGAGCCGAAGAGGGCGCGCGCAGAACGCCTGGGGGCCGCAGCCCGGGGACCCCCGAAGGCCCTGGGTAGTGGTCGTCCGGAGGTGACAGTGCCGGACCCCGGGTGAGAACCAGCCCCGAGTGGGGAGGGGAGGACAGGTGGCCGGTGCTCGGGCGCGCTCACCTTCTCCTGCGCGCGGGTGAGCTTTTTCTGCACGTTGCTGGCGATCTTCCCCGCCGTCACCCCCTTGCTGCCCATGTCTGCCATCTCGGTGCCGGCCTCGCCCGGTGGCGGGCGCCTATCTCGCGCGGGGAGGCCGTGCGCGCCGCGCTCCCAGCCCCCAGCCCCAGCCGCGCGTCCGGCTCCCGCTCCACGCCGCGCACCACACAGCCCGGCCGACTGGCGGAGGCGGAGCGTGCGCCCGGCGAGCGACGCGGGGACCGAGGGAGGGACGCGCCGAGGGCGGGGGAGGGGCCGGGATGGAGGGGAGGGGCCGGGTCCCCGGGGGCGGTGGTCAGCGCCCCCCGCCCGCCCCCGCTGGACAAGACCCTGCCTTTTAAAGGGCCACTGCGGGCGCCGGAACCGCGCAAGGAGGAGGGAGTGGCGCGCGCGGGGCTCCTGGGAACTCCGGGGACACCGCCCCGCGGCAGGCACGAACACCGCAGCCCAGAGTCCCGGGTCGGCTTGGTCCTCCCTCCTCCCCAGCAGTCACCTCCTGCAGCCTGGGAAGAGGAGGCCCGGTGGGGAGGGAAGGAACGGAGCCCGGAAAACTCCGAGGTGAAGTTGAGCGCGCAGTGCGGGACGCCGGCTGCGTGGCGAGCGCAGCCGCCCGCAGCGCCCTCTGCCTGCCCCGGGTCGCGCCACGCCGCTTCCTCCCGGCCCGGAGCGGCGCAGGTGAACCCTCGGGGACGCCCGATTGGTGCCAGCCAGGCGCCCGTCCTTCCAGTTTGCCACTGATTACCAAGACAACGAGCGAACGCCACTGAGCCCCGGCTGCGTGCCCGGCGCTGGGTTGGGTGACTCACTCAGCGGCCTCGATGGCCCTAGAAGGTAGGGGCTGCCGCTGCCCTTTCACACTTGAGACGCCAAGAGATCTGCACCCCCAACCGTGCACCTGGACGCACCGGGAGGCCTCGGGAAACTGAGCCCCACTCCCTCGTGCCTTATAAAGAAGATAAGATTGTTGTCCGCTGGCCAGCTTTGTCAACGGGACGATGCCACTCGTTCTAAACAAATCAATGCGGGCTGGGTCTGCTGATTTCCACCCTCAAAAACAAGTCAGCTGCCTACAAGATCTCAGGATCTGGGGGCGGATGCAAAGCAGATGTGGGTCTTGCTGAAGAGGCTCAGCCATGCCCAGGGTGTGGGTTTGGGTCCCACAGGGCACCCAGAGAGAGAAGCAGAGCTGTTAGATGGGTGGGTGTCTCCGAGAGATTTTCTGGGTGAATAGAGGGGCCTTCACAGACCACACGCCGAGCCTCTTGGACCACTTGAGGCAACTTTCTTTTTCTCTGTTAAGATGTATTTACTTACTTGAAAGGCGGAGCTACAGGGAGGGAGAGACAGAGAGAGGTCTTCCATCCACTGGTTCACATCAGCTGAGTCAGGGCCAAAGCCAGGAGCATGGAATTCCATCTGAGTCTCCCAGATGGGTACAGGGACCCAGCAGGGGGCTGGACCAGTAGCCAGGACTGCATCAGGAGCTCATATGGGATGCTGGCGTCACAGGCAACAGCTTAACCTGCTGTGCCACAATGCTGGCCCCAGCATGGGCAGCTTTCTCTGGCTACTCATTCTTCCAGATGTTAATTAGGAGCCCCCTCCAAGGCCTCCTCTGCAGACAGAGGTAGCTCAGCTGAGATCCACTCCCATGCTGGCTCTCCTGGAAGGAACAACACTTGACGGAAATACCATAAGCTCCTGCCTCCATCTGTGACTGACAGGAACCAAACCCCCACAGCCTGCGGTTTCTGAGGCCGCTTCCTCCTGGGAGCCCACCATGTTTTCACCTTGTGGTCTCTTCCCTCCCCGTTTTATCTCTGCGGTTTTCCTGGCCATTCTCTCAAAGACATTTCTTCCAAACACGGTGTTGAGGAAGGAGGAAATGAGAAGTCCAGTTGTGCTACCATCCACCCTCAGGGAATTCTGCTTCATTGGACTTTGGTGTTGCAAAACCTCACTGGACAGAAAAGTTGCAATGTCCGCTAGCAGGACAGGGTTGGCTGTGAGAGCTCAGTGCGGGGAGGGGCCCACAGACGTGGAAAGGAGGTGGCCGCGAGAGAACAATGCGTATGGGATAATTCTGAGTGCAAAGGAAGAAGACAGGAAATTGTACATGCAGTGTCCTTGCAAGCACAAAAAAAAATAAATAAATTGCATGACTGCCGTCAGAGATGCGAAGGAGCTGTGCATAACAGAAAGAAGTAGCTGTCAGGTTCTAGGCATCGTGGTTGCTCTTTTTCCCTCAGTTTCCTAAACACTCTGTAATGCTCCCAATAGCTTTCATAAGAAGAACCGTAGCTCTGTTTTGAAGGAATGGGATTCTTTCTCCATTCTGTCGATTAGAAACACATTTCTAAACATGGAAGCACTAGAGGGTACATTGGAAATTTAAAATTCTAGCTTTGAGGTGCATAATTTTTTTTAAGTTCTTGAAGATTGATTTATCTGAAAGGCAGAGTGACAGGCGAAAGTGATATCTTCCACCTGCTGGTTCACTTCCCAAATGCCCTCAACAGCCAGGGCTGAGCCAGGCTGAAGCCAGGAGCTGAGAACCCCACTGGGGCCAGCCACACAGAGGGTGGGGACCCAAGTACTTGGGCCAACATCTGCTGCCTCCCAGGATGCACTAGCAGGAGGCTGATTTGGAAGCAGAGCAGCCGGGACTCAAACTGGCGCTCTGATGCAGGATGCAGCCTCCCAGGAGGCCACTTCACCCACCCTACCACAATGGCCTCTAACATTTTTGAATTTCAAAGTGTGCCACCAATGTAGGATAAACGTTTGGATAGAACCTGTCCAAAAATGTTAGTAAATGTAGTAGAAGTAGAATCTAGGCAATATTTACTTTTAAAAAAATAATTTTCTAGGGGCCGATGCTGTGGCATAGTGGGGGTAAGCCTCTGCTTGCAGTGCTGGCATTGCATATGAGCCCCAGTTCGCGTCCTGGTGGCTCCTTTTCCCATCCAGCTCTCTGCTGTGGCCTGGGAAAGCAGTAGAAGATGGCCCAAGTGCTTGGAACCCTGCACCCACATGGGAGACCTGGAAGAAGCTCCTAGCTCCTGGCTCCTGGCTCCTGGCTTTGGATGGGTCCAGCTCCAGCCATTGTGTTCATCTGTGGAATGAACCAGTGGGTGGAAGACCTTTCTCTCTGCCTCTCCCTCTGTCTGTAACTCTACCTCTCAAATAAATAAATTTTCAAAAAATTGTAAAAAATAATTTTCTATAGGATGTGGGTTTTTTTTTTTGCCATTATGTGAGATAGAAAAAGCTATTTCCATTAGAAATTAAGTTTAGTAAACTATAAGAAACCAGAAGAAATATACTTGTTATTCTATAAACATTCTCTTATTTTTTAAGAGTTATCTATTTGAAAGGCAGAGAGAGATCTTCCACCAGATAATTTACTAACCACAGGTAGGCCAGGATCCAGAAATTCCCTCAGGCTCCCCATGTGAGTAGCAGGAACCCAACCACCTGAGCCACCCTCTGCTGCCTCCCAGGCGCATGGACGGGAAGCTGGATGAGCAGGGCAGGGTGTCTGCGACTCAGACCAGGCACCAGGCTGTGGGATGGGCACATCGCAAGCGATGGCTTACCCTGACCCAGATGAAATAGTTTTGAAAATCAAGTATTTTGTAAACAAAATAGAATTCCTGTGAATTCATAGGAAAAACATTAAGATTCCCAATATATCAGTGGGCAAATGGCACAAGGATACAATTTGCTAAACTGGACACTCAACTCATCAAGCCACAGGTTTTGAAAGCCTGGTCTTAGGTGGAGCAGGTAGGCGTTTGGCCTCACAGTTAAGGTCAGAGTCAGGCGCAGAGGGTTCAGCCTCCACTTGCAGCGCAGGCATCCTATGTTGGAGCTCCGGTTCAGATCCAGCTTCCTGCTGTCGCGCCTAGGAAAGCAGCAGATGGGAGGCCAAGTGTTTGGGCCTCTGCCAACCATGTCAACCATGGAGGAAACCAGGGACTTTGGCCTGGCCCAGCCTGCCCTCCTTGTGGCCATTTGGGGAGTGAACCAGAAGATGGACGATCGCTCTCTGTTTTTCCTCTCTCTCTCTCTCTCTCTCTCTCTACTGTTCTGCCTTTCAAATTTATTTATTTATTTATTTATTTGAAAGAGTTACAGAGAGGCAGAGAGAGAGAGAGAGGTCTTCCATCCACTGGTCTATTCCCCAGATGACCACAATGGCAGGAGCTGGGCCAATCCATCCAAAGCCAGGAGGCAGGATCTTCTTCTGGGTCTCCCACAAGGGTGCAGGGGCCCAAGCACTTTGGCCATCTTCTGTTGCTTTTCCTAGGCACATTAGCATGAAACTGGATTGGAAACGGAGCAGCCAGAACTCGAACTAGCACCCATAAGAGATGCCAGCATCGCAGAGAGCAGCTTTACGAGCTACACCACAACACTGTGCCACAAATTGTTTTTTAAATTATCTTACTTAATAAAACCAGAGCGACAGAAACTTCCACATTCTGTTTCTGAGAGTGTAAACAGATATGCAATTTCTGGAAAGTAATCTTCTAATAAAATAAAAATCACCACAATATCTATATTCTTCAACCTATAGTCCCAAATCTAGGAAAAAATTCAATACTTTTGCAAAGCTTTAACCACACAGAGAGGTTCATCCCATTCCTTGCAATAGTACAAAACCGAAAACATCCTCCATATGGCCACCTGAATACCAAGTGCTTTACTGTAATATAGCCACACTTGAAATGTTTGCCAAACCCACCATGCTTGTGCAGTTTTTGTAAAGGGGCGGGGGTGGGGGAAACCACTGCTAATAGAACAGCATAGGATGTGATATTCTGTGAGTGGTACTGTGCCAGCTGTTACCCAAAATGGGATTAATATCTCTGGATGGAGCAATCAGAGGTGGAGATTTTTTTCTCACTTCCTTTTCCTTTCTTTCTTTCTTTTTTTTTTTTTTTTGAATTTTCCAAATGTTGTACATTTTCTGTGTTTGTCATTGAAAGGAAATGATCTTAAAAACAAACTGAAACAAGGAAACTGGCCCCCAGCACTGTAGCTGGGGAACCACGTGGTGGTGGACTACAGAGTAGTCAGAGCTGGGGGGAATATTTGTTTGCTTTTAGAAGACTTTGGGTTTTTTTTGTTTTTTTTTTTGGTTTTTTTTAGATTTATTTATTTGTTTGAAAGTCAGAGTTACACAGAGAGAGAAGAGGCAGTGAGAGAGATAGAGAGAAAGAGAGAGAGAGAGGTCTTCCAT